AAGAAAATTTTACCTAAATTTACCAATTCCAACATTAGTAAATTTAAATCCTAGAATGAGTTGCTTTTTTTGTGGGCAAACATGGTTAAATAATTTTGGATTTTATCTCATGTTTGTGAGTGGGTATAGATTATTGAGACACGAGAGGATCGCAAGGGGTAGTCATCTGTTGTTTTGTTTAACAAAGACAGGCTTGCAGTCATGTGGACTATAATTTACATCAAAACTCGAGCCTTACAGTTTGTTCATAGTGCTTAACAAGTTGGGCCTTAACCCAAAACACTCAATTTCTTTTAACATTAGCATTAATATCAATTTATATTATAGAATATTACCAAAAAAAATTATATTATAGAAATCTATAAACTTCAAAGAAAATAACATCCAAATCTCCACAACACAATTAAATATCACTAACAACTGGACATTTTAGTTGCCATTTTACCATACTCAATCAGTCAATCTTTCATCAACATTAAACCATGCGATTCATTTTAAATTGTGTGCAATTTACACAAAAGGCTTGGTTATCTGAAATTAAGAACATGATTGTTGATTTTATATTGGGAAAATAGCATCGAAGGACTATTGTGTAAAATTTATAGTATACAAGAGACAAATGATTTGCTATTTACCCTACAGTCCTTTGGTCCTTCTTTTTAAATTAATTTTGTAAGCAAAACGACAAAATTGCCTTCTATGTAGTTAAGAAACAAAAAAGAAAAGAAATCTCACTATCGCTCGGCCGTCAAACCACATTGACAGTGAGGTTGCCGAAGCCCTTGCTACTAGCAGGGGTCTTCAGCGGCAGGTCACTGGAGCTCCAACACCGGCGACATTTTATTTAAAAAATAAGCTTTTTAGGTAGTTAAGAGAGAATTTGATCTCATGACACTTAGCCACCTAAAAAACTTAGTGGCTTGGCCACCAAGCCTTTTACTAATATATAGCAAAAAAAAACATAAGTAATAAACCAAGCTTCTAACTACTTCTTATTAATTTTTTTAACTTGTTAAAATTATAATAAATTGTTGTTATTTTACAAATATTAATCAATCACGAATAGATTGGTGTTAAAATGCATGAAGTTTTAAAGCCTTTAATTTGTAATTGTCCATGTCAGATTAATAAATAATATTTATAAAATAACAACAATTCATTTAAAATTAACAATAATTTATTATGGTTTTAACGAGTTAAAAAAACAATAAGAAGAGTTTAGTTGTACACATTAGTCATTCATTAATAAATATTCATTTGATTTTGACAACAACCTATTTGTGATTGACAATAATACATTAGAATGTTTAACAAGTAAAATGCATGAGTTTTAAAGCTTTCAATTTGTAATTGTTCATGTCAGATTAGCAAGTAACATTTGTATAACAACACACCATTATGTTATTACATGAATGTTGTTATAAGCTTGATTTACTACTTATATTTTTTATTCTACGTGTTATTAAAGAAGCTTTTTACGTGGCCAAAGGTCATGGAATCAAACCCTCCCTTAACCATTTAAGAAGCTTATTTTTCAAATAAAATATCAACCAGAGCTCCGGTGACTTGTCTCTGACGACCCTTGCCGACAGCAAGGGCTTTGCCAACCTTGCTGGCGTTGGTGGGATTTTTTTTTCTTTTTTCTTTAATTACTTGAGGGGCAGTTTTGTTATTTTGCTTATAGAATTAATATAAAAGAAGAACTAGGGGATTATAGAGTAAATAGCAAATTATTTGATCCTTGTGTGATATAAATTATACACAGTAATTTTTGGATGCTATTTTTCCTTTTATATTTGTGTATATTTGGAGGGAAGTGTTAATTTCATCCATTTGGACAAAATTATCAGAAAAATGCTACATATTTATACATCAAACAGACCTATGCATTGTGCCATGATGATCAGTATAAATGGAACTACGTATACCCTCTGTCAATTATTCCATATGCTGTGGAATTCATTTATTTACAGGTATAGTATAAAAGTTCTGGCGGATTACTTTACAGTTTTACACGATTCACATTCTTATAAACCCGACTACTATTCATTGAAGCATTATAAAAGATATTTATCCCTTACAAATTGTGAGCAATTAACTGAACCGATCTCGCAACCAAAATTGTTAAAAATTTAATTACCAGGTGATATAAAATTTCACATACTGCTGCGACCATTAGGGAATTAACTATGATCACGACTCCTTCAGTTCTACTTAACACATGCAGGAAATCAAACTTCGTTTTGCCTCTTGCGTACCTCGTTAGAATAACGCATCCATTTAATAATTATACTATGATTATAATATTAGTACGAGTAATATTAGAAATTATCCGAAGTAGCAAAGAACATGGGCACTAGTTATGGAGAAATTTGATTCTCCAGATCGTGCTCTCATCAGGCCCTGCCACACCAATAACATTCTTCCATTTTTTGTCAGCAAGCGATCAAGCATCTTCATGTCTAAGTTTCAACGCGCACCGGCACAGCTGGCATTCCGGATCATGTTTGAAGTTTTCTTTATCATTATCTATATAACAGTCAATTAATAATTAAATTATTGATTATTGATATTAAATTAATTAACGTAACTAGCTCCATGAATAAACATATCCATTATTCAGGAGGCGTTTGCGATGCTTTACGCGCGCGTATAGAAGCATTGACTTTTGTCATTGGGTTCTTATTCTGGGTTAGAGACATCTAATATACCCTTCTTCATTATCTCTTGTAATTCTCTAATATCTCAATTTTATTTTTTATTTTTTTGAATCATTAGCTTCTACATAAAGTAAGAGACATTTAAATATCTTGACATCCCAAAATGGTGAAGATTTATATTTTTTATGATTTTCAAAAATAAAAGAGTGTATTTGTGATATTTTTCTTTAAAAAATCATAAAAAATACAAATATTCACCATTTTGAGACATCAAGATATCCAAGTGTCTCTTATTTTATGTAGAAGCCAATGATCTAAAAAAATAAAAATAAAATTGAAAAGTTGGGACATTGTAAGAGGTATTGGAGAAGGGCACATTAGTGGCTCCTAGCCCTCTTATTCTTCTTTCATTAATAACCATTCTCCCTTTCCTATTTGCAAATATTTTTGGTGACCTTCAATTAGGAGTGTTTACGGGACGGGACTAGGATCCCTCTGTTCCCTGTTCCATTTTGAAAAGAGATTGGGACTAAATTTTTGTCCCGTGTTTCGTCCTATCCTATTATGAATCGAGACGTCATGTTGTCCCGATAAATCAGGCAATGTCAGAAAAAATTAGATAATAATATTCTTTAAAATTTTAAATAATATAATTTATTAAATTTTGAATCAAAACAATGCGATTACATAAATCATAACAATTTAAAGTTAATAATTAAATTACATTAATCACAACTACACATTATGATAGCAATTACAAGTGATCTCTAGGTTATAAAAGCAACAAGAATAGACAAGCCAAGTACAATATCAAATCATTGTTCTTTTATTTTAGCTAAGATGTGCTAGGCTAATGACTCTTTTGAAAATAAAACAAGAAATATGATATAAATAAAATTTTTAAAATAGATGGATAAAAAAATAAATTATATTAATATAATTAATATATTATAAAGAAAGATATCGTCCTATTTACTCTATGCCATTAAAATTATCAATATAAAAAAACTTTAATTTTATATAAGAATTGCAAGTATTGAAATTATAATTGATATAATTAATAAAGTATAAATTATATTAATATAATTAATATATTTAATATATATTTTTAAAATAAAAATTAATATATATAATATTCAGGAGGGACGTCTTGATGGTAATTCAGTGTCCCGTCTTATTCCGATCCCTTTTCTATCCTGTCCTATAAAATCTCATCCTAATTATTTTTGAGTTAGGACAAGATCTATTTCAATATAATTGAGATGATATTACAGCAATTGATATGGCTGCAAGTTGAACACCCTTGCCTTCAATCACTATGTATATGTCAACCTAGAAAAAGTTACGTACAGCTGTAATTGATCACTTATTTATAGGCTTTCAATTCATTGTAGGTAGTAGACGAGCATTAGGCTCCAAAGCCAAACCTCTAAATTAAGTGTAACTTCGGATCTCTTTGTGTGCAGACATTTGATATTTTAATTATAATAACCCTTTCAAATCATTCTTTACCCGTATTATAAACTTTTCGTGCTTTAATCATTTGTAATGCAGTGATGGTAATTATATATGGACAAGGTGCCAAATGGAGGAAAGTATTCTGATATCTACATATATATATATATATATATATAACACTCTGGAATAGCTAGCTAAGCTAGGCAAGAAAAAACTGAACCCAATATAAAAATGTAGCTTTGAATATATATACATATGTTCGAGACTAATTATTAACCAAAAGGCTTTATTAAGACTGGTTTATCGCATATGCATCTTACATTAATGATATATTTATCAATCAATTAGCTGGCACAGGAATTGCCAGGTCAAATTAAATACATATAGAACTTTAAAAGAGGGATCAATGGCCTGTTACAAGGTTATGGCCGAAGGAAGCAAGGTCTGTTCAAGCCACTAACCAGATTAGCCACATAATTATTCAACTTTTTCGATATAGTTTCGTATACAATAGTGTGTGTGTCTATATGTATCACCGTCTATATTCATACACAAATATACACATAATATATATTCACTCCGAATAGCTCTGGTGGGAGTTTTCTTAAATGATTATATTGATTCTTCTTCAGATGGAAATTTCCATATTAAATTGTTATTCCAAATGTATGTCTCTCTTCATCCAATCATAGCAACTGAATTGAAGAAGATATATGAGGATGTGTAACGCGGTAAATAACAGCATTGAGTCTGTGTTGGACAATTAATATATGCAAATGCTGAACTGTATCTGACTTGGCAAAGAAGACAATAGTGGCTATAAAAAAGAGATCAATGGCCTTGCTGCAATGCATTCCTATAATCAGTTTTCCATCAGTTTCCAGTATGAGGCCTGCATTCTTCTTACTGTGTTGCGTGGTCCTTTTTGCTTCTCTTAATGTTGGACAAGGTGGCAAACTCAGGAAGAACTTCTACCGAAGAACTTCTTGCCCTAAAGCTGAGGACATCATCAAAATAAGAACTACTCAGCTTGTCTCTTCTATTCCTGGTTTGCCAGCCCAGTTGCTGAGAATGCACTTTCATGACTGCTTTGTTAGGGTACTTATCATATTATTTGTAACATCTTGTATATATACAGTATATATCCTCAGTGTTCTCTTCATGGCTTCCCCCCCCCCCCCATTTTTTTTGGCTATAATCATGTTTGCTAAACACATTTCAGGGTTGTGATGCATCAGTCCTGCTGAACTCCACTGCTAATAATGCTGCAGAAAAGGACTCAATCCCAAACCTAACTTTGAAAGGCTTTGATGCCATCGATGATATAAAAGCCACCGTCGAGGCCCAATGCCCAGGTGTTGTTTCCTGCGCTGACATCCTCGCATTGGCCGCTAGGGACGCCGTTTCTATCCCTGTAAGTAACTAAACAATCTCGACCTACTGATCCATCCACAAAAGTGATGCGCGCGCGCGCGCGCGCACACACACACACACAGTACGTTTAAGGAGGGAAAATGATGAAGTCGATCGGTTTAGTTCTGTGATGAGTAATATCCGTCTCTTTCTCTCTGTTTGCGCAGTTTAAGAAACCTCTATGGGAAGTGCTTACTGGTAGGAGAGATGGGAGGGTGTCGATAAGCCAAGAAGCATTGGTCAACATTCCGGCACCGTTCTTCAACTTCACTCAACTCAGAGCCAGCTTCGCCAGAAAAGGCCTGACGTTGCACGAGCTAGTGGTGTTGTCAGGCTCTCACACCATCGGAATAGCTCACTGCAACTCCTTCAGCACGAGGCTCTTCAACTTCACTGGAAAAGGCGACCAGGACCCTTCTCTGGACCCCACCTACGCCAAGTTCCTCAAGTCCAAATGCAAGAGCCTCAGTGACACTACCACCACCGTGGAAATGGACCCAAACAGCTCTACCTCGTTTGACTCTAGCTATTACTCCAACCTTGTTCAGAACAAGGGATTGTTCGAATCTGATGCTGCGCTTCTGACCGACAAGCAGGCCAGAAAGACTGTCCATGAACTGGTTGACCAAGAGGATTTCTTCACCGAGTTCGCGCAGGCCATGAAGAGGCTCGGAAACATTGAGGTCCTCGCCGGCACCAGTGGAGAAATTAGGAAGAAATGCTGGGTTGTTAACTCTTAAAATTCTTTTATTTTATTCCTTGATGATTTTGTCTTTGCTTTTTTGTTTTCAACCTTCGGTTGAAAAGGTGGGATTGTCAAACTATTATTGTGTCGCTGATTTGATTTATCGTGTTGCTCGGAGAGTCATTTATGGTCGTTGTTTATCGAATAAAGTCCGTGCTTGACCCAAAAGCGGATAATACATAGATCTATCATCTTTGCTCGAAGAGACATGTTGTTTACTTTTTGGGCATCTACGATATCTTGTTTATTGAAAGAAAACTAACGTTTTAGCGAGTCTTCATTGATTGCATTGTGATTTTGAAAACGTTCCCTGTAGTCTATTGCCATCTTAAATCAATCCTGATAAAATGTTGTACTGTGGGTCTCACGCCCTAAGTGTTGGGTGAATACCTACTGCATCTCAGAGGTTTAGTGCCCAATATGGCAGCCAGATGGTGAGGAAACACATCTCAAAGACAGAGGGCTCGTCATGAAGACCAAGTGAAACACAAGCGGAATAAGGTGCATATATCAATGGTCAATCGTTGTGAGCTAGCAGCTTATAATTATTTCAACACTAACAACATGTTTAGCATCTCATATATATGCATCCATGTTAAGTTTGCAGGAGTTTTATAACTTTGCTCATTCCTTTTCTATCATAATTCTAGATCATATATCGCATTCTCTCTAAAAGCACAAGGAATGGTACCGTGGATCTTTGGAATGGATTGCATAAAGTCCAAATTACCCGTATGATCGATTATATTGCATGGGAACTCTCAACGTCTTATATATATATATATATATATATACTGTATGTTTGGACGACCATGCATCACGTTCTAGCTACTTCATTTTTCACAAATCAAATAATAATTATGTATTAGTATGCGAGAAGTCAACTTTTTTTAAAAAAAAAAAAGTAAATTGTCTTGTTGGTACCACGTCTCACATGTGTGTGCGTATTAAAGTTAATGCACTATATATTAATTTAGGTATGGAGTTTAGGGGGCAACGTGTATATATTGAATATTTAATGAAAGTAGTAATAAATAATTTTCCATCATAACTTTTCCATCTCTATCATTTTTATATTCTTCCAAATATATAGCAATACAAAAATATTCACATAATGTTTTGTTGGGTTGTAGAATTTTGTCCATCTTGGTGGATTATATTGGTCCAAACCCACATTAAATGTCTTGGGTACAGTTATTCCCACATGTTGCGTGCACGAGAACGACAGTGGGGGTATATATGTAGGATGTGCACTGGAGAATAACTCAACACTCAGATCATTTTATGCAAAGAATTTTCATACGGTTTTCTCTCTCCTCTCTCATACCATTTGCTGTGAAAACCCAAATCAAGTCCGGAGTGATTCGGTGCTAGGAAAAGAGAGGTATATGCTTTTAAATCCTACATACAATATGTCTGTGTCATTAATCATTTAAATATACCAAACATACCGTTACATTGCAAATAGAGTACTTCACCGAGGCCACATTTCGCAGGTTTGTAATCTCGTGTGAATCGATTCAGAGGAATGGTATTGGATGCAAGGTTGGATAGTAGTTACTGGTTTGAATTGTCTTGGTTGGTGATTCAGGAAGCATATATGCTGCTGGATGGACCTATACCGAGGAATACAGCGGAATTCGTAAAGAACAAGGATAATGACGTTGTTTGGATGCCGACGAGATTAATTGCTCTTGCTTTGGACATATTTATACAAATTTTGTGTTGTATGAGGCCACGACTAATTAGCTCGAATATTAACTCAAAATATAGTTATTTCAAAGTTAAAAACATGTTTTTCCTTTGTGTGGTAGGGGACTGGGGGAATGGGGGGAATAAGTGTTTCATCCCGTTGGACAAAATCATCAGAAAAATGCTCATATATCTCTCATAGCTCAAGCTCAAGAATCATGGATAGATTATATGAATCAGTGGTGCGGCAAAGAACTAAAGCTAGGGATGCAAGATGATTTAATTTAAAAATTAATATTTTTTAAAAAATAATAATTTAATATAATAATAATTAATTAATTATACTGGGACTAGAATTTTTATTACTAGATTGAACACCAATTTTTGGAAAATTATATTCAACATGTTGATATGTTATTTCATGTAAGTATGATCTCTATTTTATTTTTGATATATCATCAAAATATTATGTATCTAATTAGCTTTTGAATCCAAATATGTTTTATCTAGTCCAAATGATGATACAATACATTTTACTTAAATTTTTTTTTTTAAGTGAGGGGTGCATTTGTAGATTTTCACTCTAGCATGGCTCTACAACTGATATTAAACAATCTTATTATTTTAAAGTTCATGTATGTCTGGGTGATTATAGGGGGTGTTTATTTCATTCAAAATATACGACAAAATCATATGCATATATGCATCATGTATGTATAGCAAACAAACCCGCATGATGAGTAGGCGCATAAATGGAAGCACCCTCTTCTCCATCAAGTATAATTCCATGACTCTTGAATTCTTCTTCTTCTCCTTCTCCCTTTTTTTTTCTGGGCACTCTAGGTATAAAAAAGTTTTTGCTCGTGGTCCACGGATTCAAATTCATATCCATGCTTATGAGATGTGCAAGAGTTGAATATTGTTATTATATCGAATCAACATTTGTTGACACGTTGTGGAGTTTATTTGTCCTTCATTAATATTGTTGACGATGAGTAGTAATTGAATATTTTATTACCCTACAAGAACCATTGACGATATTGCTAATTAAAGGCCAGTCAATTCAAAAATTCATCACATTTCCTAGTTTTACTCAGCTAGCGCAGGAACTTGCCTCTTCATACCTCAAGGTAGCCATTAGCGTAACCTACACAATTATGATTATTATAGTTGTATCTGGTAAAAGTATTAGAGTAATAATTATTATCCGAAGCAATGGAACATGGCACCAATTATGGAGAATTTGATTATCCAGATGGCGTTCAGAAGAAGCCCTAGCTACCACCAATGACTTTGTTCCGATTTTTGTCCGTATTTCACATGCATGTGTGCAGGCGATTATCAACGCATCTTCTTGTCTAAGTAATTCACCGCCCACCTTACACATGCCCTCCTTCAGCAACATGTTTATACATTAAAATTACTTTAATTTAATTAATCAATTAACGGCGAAAATATTTATATACTATATATAATTGGTCAATTAAAGTAACGCCATTAATATATACATTTTCAACAGGGATCCGGGCAACACGTTGGGTCAAAGTACCTTTACTATAACACAACTTGGGAGGCCATTGCGATGCTTTAAGCGCACACAAAAGCGTCATTGGTTCTTGTTCTTCTATATATGGTATTTTAATTTCTTTTTGGTTTGCAATCAGTCCCTTATAAGTTACCAATATCTTTACCTCATCATACATATTAAACAAATTAGTTAAAGATGGTTAACTAATTAAATTTCTGTTGAAACACATATTTCTAAAAAATTGTTTCGTAATGTCAAACAATTTAATGATCAATGGTAAGGAAAATATATTTAATGATCGGTCAATTTATCAAAGTGACTTATGTTTTAGGTAATAGAAGAGCACTCGGCTCCAAATTCGAACCTCTCATTATCATTTTACATTTGTTATTTTCATTATAATTAAGGAGCTAAATATGGATGAAAATATCATGATATAAATTGCACTAGTAACAACTAACGCTGGAATATAACTGGGCCTAGGCAAGAAAAGTTACTACCTAGGCAGTAACTTTGAATATGTACACGTTCAAGCTTGCTTTTAATTTGCTAAAAAAAAAATATTAACGTTTAGTATTAAGTTATTAACTAACCTATAGGCTCTTAGACTGGTCTATCGATCGCATTTGCATCTTACCAAGATATATATATATATATATAGCATTAATTCATAATCAATTAATAATTAGCTGGCAGAGGAATTACCAAGTCAAAATTAAAGACATATATAAAACTCTAAAAGAAGTGTGGCCTGCTGAGGTTATGACCGAAGGAAGCAAGGTCATTCTAACAACTATCCAGATCAGCAACTCATTAATTCATTTCAAACAACCTTTATTTTGTATGCATATAAAAAATATATATTCATCCCATAAGTTGGTTGCAATTTTCTTGTACATAATCGGTGATTATTCTTTAGATAGTAATACCCATTTTCTAGTGTTATTCCAAATCTGATCACCTCTTTTCCGTCCAATTATCAATTGCAGCTTAACTGGAGATGTATAATTACGTATACATGATTATGGCACGTAGTACTTAACACGGTAAAGTAAAATAACAGTATTGAATCTGTCTAACTGGACAATCAAATATGCAATGCTGAACTGTATTTGACTTAGAAAAGAAGACAATAATGCCTATAAAAGGAGATCACAATTGGCCAATCAGCCAGTGCATCCTGATCAAGTTCTCTCCATTTTGTGACAGTCAAAAAGTCTATCTAGTGAAGGAGAGAAGCTAAGATAGATCGTTATTTGGAGGGTTTTCCAATATGAGGTCTGCATTATTCCTCTTGCTAGGTTGTGTGGTAATCTTTGCTTCTCTTGTGGTTGGACAAGGAGACAGCCTCAGGAAGAACTTCTACCGAAGTTCTTGCCCTAAAGCAGAGGACATCATTAAAACGAGAACCTCTCAACTTGTCTCTGCTAATCCTGGTTTGCCCGCCCAGTTGCTGAGAATGCACTTTCATGACTGCTTTGTCAGGGCACGTATCATATATTATCTCTAACAACTTTTTGTGTGTATATATGAGTACTATTCACTACTGTTCTGTGTTCTCTTATGGTTTGCTTTTAGCTATATATAACCTGTTTGTAAAACATGTACAATTTCAGGGTTGTGATGCATCAGTCTTGTTGAACTCCACTGCTGATAATACTGCAGAAAGGGACTCCATCCCGAACCTAACTTTGAAAGGCTTTGATGCCATCGATAACTTAAAATCCACCGTCGAGGCTCAATGCCCAGGTGTTGTTTCCTGCGCTGACATTCTCGCTTTGGCCGCTAGGGACTCCGTTTCCATCCCAGTAAGTAACTAAATAATCTCAACCTTCTGATCCATTCGGTAAAGAAATGCTGAAGTTGGTTTAATTAGTTCTGTGATGTGTAATATCTGTCTCTTTCTCTCTGTTTGCGCAGTTTAAGAAACCTCTATGGGAAGTGCTTACTGGTAGGAGAGATGGGAGGGTGTCGATAAGCCAAGAAGCATTGGTCAACATTCCGGCACCGTTCTTCAACTTCACTCAACTCAGAGCCAGCTTCGCCAGAAAAGGCCTGACGTTGCACGAGCTGGTGGTGTTGTCGGGCTCTCACACCATCGGAATAGCTCACTGCAACTCCTTCAGCACGAGGCTCTTCAACTTCACCGGAAAAGGCGACCAGGACCCTTCTCTGGACCCTACCTACGCGGAGTTCCTCAAGTCCAAATGCAAGAGCATCAGTGACACTACCACCACCGTGGAAATGGACCCCAACAGCTCTACCTCGTTTGACTCTAGCTATTACTCCAACCTTGTTCAGAACAAGGGATTGTTCCAGTCTGATGCTGCGCTTCTGACCGACAAGCAGGCCAGGAAGACTGTCAATGAACTGATTGACCAAAGCGGTTTCTTCACCGAGTTCGCGCAGGCCATGAAGAGGCTCGGAAACATTGAGGTTCTCACCGGCACCAGTGGAGAAGTTAGGAAGAAATGTTGGGTTGTTAACTCTTAAACTGGTTCACATATATAACTTGTCATTCCTATCATGATTTTGTCTTCCTTGTAGTTTTTCATCTTTGGTTGTGGGATTGTCACGCTAATATTGTTTCGTCACTGGTGTGATTTATTATATTGTGTTGCTTGAAGATATATACAAGTTGTTTATTGAATAAAGTTTACGTTTAACTCTGAAGTCGAGAATATATAGATTGTATATCGTACGTAACGTGGTGTTGTTACTACTGGTGCGACCTTTTTCCTCCTCTCGCTGTCGAGTGGAAAGGCCAATTTTTTCTGACTTCGTAGATAGATAGATGGCAATGTTTTAAAATCAGAGTCGGACATTGAACTAAAAAGAACCACAGGTTATGATTTTTATAGTTTAATCGATTAAACCAATTGTTGAAACATTGACATAAAAATTAAATAAAAATTATATTTATATACACAAATATAAAAATAAAATATTAATTTGTTGATGGTGCTTGGGATTTTAATGTCAAAGGCTAGACATCCGAACCGTTGGAGCTACAGACAGAGACATGTTGGCACAAACTTGCGATCTTAAAGTAAAATGTTGGAGCTGGAGGCATGCCATTATGTCACAACTCACGGACTTTCGATTCCGATGCCAAATACTGGATCACTAGAGTTGGATGAGAGATCAAAGATTGAGTCTAATTTTTTTTCCCCTTTAAACCGGGTTGACCCATTATGATTTTTAGGCCAGATTTGATTCTTTCAAAATCGTTTGGTTTAATCAAATTCAACTGCTAGATTGGTCCAACTGATTGGATCAAGCTATTTTTTCAGTTTTCAAAATACTGATAGATAAATATCATTTACCATTTTGATACATATAAGACATGCACGTCATGAAAAGGCACATGAATTTGGGGGTTGCCTTAGCACCACTCTCATTTATTTATGTTGTGTGAAGATTAAAAAGTCTTAGATATCATCCTAAGATTTTTTTTGATTTTTCTATTTTATTTCTTACAAGCATTATCTTGTCTAATGCAATATTGTTCGAAACACAATCAGACATTAAATATTAGATTTAGACGTTTCTTAGAATATCAAATTATTATATGAATCCTAGAAATTTAAATGACTTGTGATAAATTGAAATTTTTGAGATTAATCTCAAAATGTTCTTAAGTTTTGATGAATATTTTTAATATATTGGCTGTCTTGAGTCACTTTCAGAATTTAAGATATTGAGAAGTTGTATGGGTAGAAATTAAAACTATGATAGAGTATCAAACTATATCAAATTAAAGATATATTCTCTTTCAAAGGTGCACATTCCTTGTATAATATTATTTTTGTAACTGTAGAGAATAAAAACCATCCCTCTCTAGAGGAATTGCTATTGAAAGGGGGGGGGAGCCATCGTTGATTCGAAATATTAATTAGACACAAGTGAGACTGGATAATTGAGTACAAGCCCGTCAATTTGACAAGTGTTAAATGACATTAAGTTAAGTTAGATTGAACAACACAGTTAAATATTTGGACTGAGTTAGGTATCAAAATAATTACATTGATCCATTTAGTAATTTAGTTTGATCTCACGCTAGCTTAATACACAGTAAACGATAGATTTCTATCCCTTGAAAAAAAAAAAAAGAGGGACAGTGATAATAAAATCTCTCTGAATTATATAAATAACTATTTAGTTTTTTAAAATATTATAATTTCAATGAAATGCCTAGAGACCTTTGTATTAATAAATTTTAAAATAAAAAAATTATTTTACTCTTACTAAAAATAACAAGCTTCAATCATAATTTTTATTTAAAGAATCATAATTTTTATTCTGTAAATCATAAAAGTTAAATAAAAAATTATAACATATCAAGTCTAATTTTTGTTATTGGAAAATAAACTCTAATTATAACTCTTGCTTAAAGAATAACAATTTTTATTTTATAAATTGCAGCAGTTGAATAAGAAATCATAATTTATTAAGTGTAATTTCTATTATTAAAAAACAAATTTTTTATTCATGACTTTTATTTAAAGAATCATGACTTTTATTTGAAAATAGAAAAATTGAATAAGAAATTATAACTTATCCATAAGAGTAAAATAATTTTTTTAATTTAAAATTTATTGATAAAAATGTCCATAAAGACTTCAATAAAATTGTGATATTTTAAGGGATTAGATTATTATTTGTATAATTTGAAAGAATTTTATTGACATTTTTTCAAAAAAGGATGTGGGATTTTGGCTATTTTGTTTCCGCTAAGTTTAGGGTTTGCGGGGTCTTTGTTGCTTGGGCCTTTTTGGGCCAAAATTTTGTTGTTTGGGCTTGGGTTTTCATCTCTGCAGACCTCTTAATCTTTTGTTGCTATTCTTATTCAATTCCATTTTCGTCTTTGGCCACCAAAAACATCCAACTAAACCATCACCCGTCAACAGCATTTCATCTACTCTTTCCATTCAGCTATATATTTAATGTGCAAACTTACAATGCAATATAGACAACAAAACAAATACACAAGCACTGTGGATTACTGGGGTAGAAGAATAGCTTGAAAAATTGATAGACATGTAAATTATCCAACGAAAACATGCAGGAATATTCTCAGAAGATCTTAAAAAATTGGTAGACGCGTAAATTATCTAAGGAGCGGGATCCGTGACAAAAATATGAAGATTAGTATGGAAATTGTTTTTTTTATGATAAGGAAAATTATATTAATCAAAGAGTGAGAGTGTAATGAAATGGAAAAGCAAGAAAATTCTAAAAAGGAAATTGACCGGGTTATAAAATAGAAAAGAAAAAATTCATGAAACGACAACCACAATAATAAATGTCCCGCTCAATTGCCAAGCGAGGATTGCTTCTTGAAAAAATTTCAAGGCAAATGAGGTCCTTTCGATGACTTTGGATGAACAAACTTGTCTTTCTGCTGTTGGGAAACCCATTGTAGAAACGTTTTCAGGGAAAAACAATTCTAAGAGCCACAAGAGTTGGATTGTGGATTCTGTTATTGGAATGAAAGATCGGCTTAAAATTTTTGGAAGGATGTCTCTCTATTGAAGCAATGAAGGGGAGTCAAGTTTGTTGTTTCTGCTTTCTTTTGAAAACTTGCAAGCTCCAATTAGAGTTGGTTAGTGAGGCTGGTGTTATGGTTCTGGGAGTCATGATTGAAGTGGGAGGATGTAGTTATGAATGCAGTGGATGGTATTAATTGTGTTTAGTGAAATGGCAATGGAAGCGGTTTTTGATATAGAGTGAATGATTCCATTTCTCTTAGACCATATTGTGTGGACAGTGATGATGATGAGATTTAACATTTGATGATAAACTAAAGTAGTAGATAACATGGAAACAGGCCATTGAGAAATATCAGCCTAGTTAATGCAATCCATTTTGAGAGAAAGAGCACCAAACCAAACAGCTCTTGCGAAAGATCAAAGGATGAAAATGTGAGCAATGTATTCCAATGAGTCACATCCAAAGACACAACAATTGCTATTCGACAAGTGATGAAGATTCTGGATGTCACCAGCAAGAATGCATTTGTGAGTGAGTTTCCATGTGAACATGATATACTCAGAAGGTAAGCGAAGCTTCCAAAGATGTTTTCAATTGAGATTGAAGGAGTATGGATCCAGATGGTATTGGCGGTAGGGACGTGAATCACGAGTTGCTTGAGTCGTGTTCAAAAGGACACTATCTTTAAAAAATATTTCCGCATATCGGGATGATAAACTGGCAGTTCTCTAAAATTAAACAAGCACTTCCTGTAAAAGCAAGGTACCCGAATAGTAGAGCTAAAATGAACCCAAATGAACAACACAGCAGAAGCTAGAGGGAGGAGAGAATTGCCCAAAAAGCTCAAGAGGCTGGTGAGTTAATCTGTTCGCACCCATGGCTATATATAGCCCGAAGATGAAAACATGAACGTTAGTTCATAATCACCAGATTAAGGCTTTGATTACACACATATAAAATACCATTAATCTGAAGCCGTTGGCAGACAAGGGCATTTGAGAAATTAACTCACAAAATCAATTTTCAAAAGTAGTTTAAGCTAAAAATAATTATTTATTTATTTTGTAAAAATAATCCAGTAAAAAGAACTCAATGCCTCTTGAACTCGTGTGCAGGAGGTGAATCAATTGATTTCAATTGCAATTACTCTGAGTTGGCCTATCTCATGCGCACAAACCTACTTTTTCTCTAAGCTTATATTACTAACCCACTTCATTCCTTAGTATTTATACACTAGAAAAGTTCTTCATTTAGATAATATGGAACTTTTGACGCACACACAACAGATGGGGGGTGTTTAAAGCCTTAAAAGGATTGTTTAACAGAGTATTCTACATTAGGATTAAGTTTTCATGGAAGGCAATCTTGATCATTGAAAAAGGAAAAAGGAGCATTGAGAATGGAGGTGGCCTGATCTTTGTCATAAAGATTGAATACTTTTTGATGATTTCAAAAGAGAAAATTGTGCGAAATAAGATTGCTAACTGTCTTGTTATTATTGACCAGGCTTCTCTTGTTTGCAAGTATGAGCCACCATAAGGCGTAGTTGAGGGGGATGGATTGACCATCACCAACCTTTTAAGAAAGATTATTAAGAAGAATATCTTTGGATCTGAAAATACCTTTCCACATCCAATAGGCATTGGAACGAGGGTGAAGCAAGCGTTTGGATCCAGTATTAACATATTTGACTCTGAGAGTACGGCCTAGTAGAGAAATCTGAGGAGAAGAGATAACCCTCCAGACTTGTTTTGCAAGTAATGAATAATTGACTATTCCAATCAAGACCCCCAATATCAGAATTACTGCAAAGGATATCCCATTTAGCCTAGTGCACTGATTTTTGACCATTTTGGGAATCCAAAAAAAAATTGCAACAAAAACTATTCCAGATATGAGACGGGAGTCCAATGCACGATAAATCTATGAAATAGAAAATCTAGTAAGAACAGAAATAATCAGTCGGTATTATTGCAGCAAAGAATGTCAATTTTTTTCCCCGTACATGAGAAGGGAGGTATGGAAATTGTTCGAAGCCTGAAGCAACCTTTTTTTTTTTTTTAATTGCAGATGTTTAGTTTTTCTACCTTGTAAGAATAGAATATCAATGAAATACAAGCTCAATTTATAATAATTATAATCAAGTAATTAATGTTACAGTCAACTTAAGTATGATAAGAAACTGTAAAATTTCAAATCAACAATCGTAATCAGTCAAATAATATTTAAATACATTAACAGAAGAAAATACTCACATTCACACCTTGATCCGTTATATGTTTGTTCATAACAAGCCAACGATGAAAGCGTATCTTTTGTCTTTTACTATGTCTAATTTATATTGACAAAGAAAAAAGTCTAATTTATATTTATATTTACTACTATTATGTATTGATTAATCTAATAATTAAAAATAAAATATCTTCAAGGCTTTTCTTTGCCAGCAATCTTGGAGGCTTAAAATTCACAATCACAACCTTGAAAATATGTTCATTTAACAAATTATAAATTACATTCTTACAATTTATTTAAAAATATTTTAATAGAATATTTTAAATTATATTATTAAAATAAATAAATATTTTTAACCCTGAAATAAGTAACCTTTATTTTCGCGGATATAAATATTTATTTTTAAATATTCCAGATATTTTAATTTTTAATCAAAAGAAAGATTAAATATGTATTTCATATCCTTTGCACATTGGCCCGGATTTTCCATTTCCAACAGGTGGAATCTATTTAAATTATTTCCAAGTTGCAATTATAAATTTTTTATTTTTAAAATTTTGAAATATTTTATTTTATTTTTTGATATCTTAGATTAAAATATTTTTATGTCTTATTTTATGCTTATAATTATTTATTACTAATAAATATAATAAACTGATCATAATTCAAAATATGATAAATGTTGAGCTATTTTTTGATTTTGATTATATAATATGAATTATATTTACAAAAACCTCTCTATATATAATAGATGATAATGGATTATGAAAGATCCGGTACTGAAGCAGGATCATGCGTAATCCAACCAGGAACCAAAGAAATAACGAGATGAAGAAAAGATTATCTCATGCATTTTTGGAAAGTATGGAACTCCCGTTACTTGTGGAGCTGTAAATTTGTAAATGACCTATAGAAATATATTCAACTCCACCATTCCACGACAACAAAATGACGCACTAAAATGCTTCACAACGTTTCCAATTAAGAAGCCTCACGAGAGAGACGACCGTATATGCTCACAAAGAAGTAAAACATCGTTAAATTACTGTCCGCATTTCAGTGAAGAGAAACCAAATAGTCGTCTCCAATTGATTTCAAACACTGAAACAGATGAACCAGAATAAGAATTCACTTCCAGCTAAGAGAAATCCAAAGCTTTCACCAGCTTTTATAATATGATGATTAAATGAACTAATGTACAAGTAAAGAGCACACATCCCATTGTATAACTCAAAACAGTCGAGGCAGGAAGGGGCTCGGATGCTATAAATAGCATTGCAATGCAACTAACAGCGAGGACCTGAAACCTAAATCCACACAACATCAGGCCGCATTGGCCATGGACTCAATCAGGATCTGGTAACCTTCCGGGACAGCACTCTGTGTCTGCACACATTCCGTCAACGCCGGAACATCGGCAGCCAGGTCTAAAACCCTTGCTAGGACAAGGAGAAGATGAAAATCAGATATTCTCTTCACAAATGGAAGATTTTTTGTACGGTCAAGATGATTCTTCAGCGCCTTCATCGCAACTTGAGTGTTCCGGTTCTCAACGGGAAATGTTGATGAAAGAGGACCCTGTATTCGAGGAAACAACGCTTTCATAAGTTCAATAGCAATTACATTGGCAAGCTGTGATAGAAGGATAGAGTACAATGGCTTCTATGATACATATTGACATGTCAAGTAGTAGAAGCTTGCAGAAACATTACATCCACATCCAGTACAAGTATTCACTTGGTAAACCACATTCCCAGGTTAATACATCAATTAATTAACGGATAATGAAACTTTTAATCCCTCGAGTCTATCTCAATTATTAATTTGGTCTTTTAAGTTTACTTTTTATTAATTTGATCCTTTATATTTCCTTAAATTATCATGTCAATCTTTTAAGTTCTAAAACACAAATTGATTTTCAAGATAATCTAACATAAAAAAGTATATTGATGATTTGACACACACATATATATAACTAAATGAAAACAAGTTATCTTGCAAATGAGTTTAATTTTTATCAATATAATTCCTTACAATGTGTTTTGTTCTCTTGTTTTTTAAAAAATTTCAGATTCATTTTTTCTACCTAAATAATTATACCCCTTTTCATTAGTCTACATGGTTGTCATCAATATTCTATTATCTAAGTCAATAAATTTTAATAGTGTAACTTCTTTTTCTAACAACAAGGACCAAATTGATAATCAAAATAAATTTGAGAGAATAAAGTAATAGAAATTAAATTTAAGAGACCAGATTGACAATAGAGATAAATTTGAAAAGACTAAAAGTTGCAACATCTCACTAATCAAAATCTAACTATTTTCAGATCGAGTTATCAACAGCTCTCTGATTGATTTTGTTAAAGCCAGCATAAGTGACATGCTTCTCTGTTTGAGTCAAAAAAATATTCTTTCCTGATTTTGGATGGTCAACCCATTAACCGCAAAACACGTTCCCCCCCCCCCCCACCAACAAGCCACAATCATTCTTGAATGACACGCAAAAGAGAACAAACACACAAACATGCATGGAAAAAGTTCTTTTTCAAGAAAGTAGAAAAGTACACGGTTGGAGTATGATATATCCTCTTACACTACAAATTTTTAAAGAAGAAGAAGAGCCAGGAAGCAAAACAGGAAACAAGGGAAATCAAACATTCGGAAAAGCTACTCGATCTCTGTAAATTCTGAAGAGACACAACCCTTTAAAGATGCAATCAGCTGAAAACCAGAGGGAACTACATAAGAACTAAGATCTAAATTAAGCTAAATATAACCTCAGTTCATATCCGATGTCAAGCAAAGAAAAACTATTCAACTATATTTTCCCTTAAATATAAAATGAATGTCAAACCAAGGGTACACCTTTTTTTTCAGTGCATTGGTTAGGGGATTTGACATGGTTCTTCAAACAAAAAAAAAAAGACCAAGAATTCAGTAATAGGCCTGGCTACAAATCAAGCTAATGCTGCTCTCAGGGACTACCAAAAAAAGATCAGCTTCTTAGCCCAGACCAAATATTCTACAATGCAAGCCCCTATTGTGATTTATAGCAATTGGAACTCAAATATGGATGTAAGACCAAACCTCCAATTGTCTTAGTTATGCCACTAAAAGGTCACAGCCTTCAGCTGGTTTCTTCAACAGGAAAGACTATAGAGACTCATGAACTAGGAAGCATACAACAACAACAACAACAACAAGCCTTAACTAGGAAGCATGTCTACATTTTATAATTTCTGCACCTTCATAGGCCTCACAAGTTCAAAGCTACAGAACATGAGCCTCAAACATATAATCATCAACTTCACTATGAATAATTTAAAAATTCTGAGAACACTACCCTATAAGCTTGCTATAGCACTAATCTCATTACAAGATATGTTCAGAGCAGAGCTATATGCACAGTAATTTTTTTACAAACTGAATTTGATGGGTATCCTCCCTCCACGATACTGCCAGGTGCATTATTAGACTAGCATATTTCAATATTTTTGGATGTTCTTCTTCGTTATTTTGTGTGTGTTTTCAAATTGGGCAGCATGCAACATTAAGCCTGGTTAGGCATTGGTTTGTTCCTTGCTGCCATAGTTCTGAGTATTTTCATCTATTCCACAAAGTCATTCAGATAGAGTTCACAGCTTCAAGCCAAAACAAGTTTGTTGAGATTGGAATTTTTTTTAATACCTAATAAAGAAAAAACTCCACCACAGGGGCAGAATATAATAAATACAACAACTACAAATATTTCATAATCCATTCCCATTGTAAACAGCTAATAAAAAAAGGTGTAAAAGAAACCGCGCAAGAGTGATCACATACCTGATGATCAGAGATCTTTACCACCACCAAAAAGAAGTCATTATCAACCTCTCTAGTATCTTTAACTCCGACAACTACATCTTTCTTCATCTTTGACAGCTTGGGATCGTCATCGTTACCGATTTCTGTTTCAAACCACCCTTCTTTGAACAATTTAATACACGTATCACTCATCTGAAAGGCTTCAAAGTGAACATCCGCACCAGCATCCTCGTTCACCTCCAGCTTCACTACAGCCGTCACCCACTCCTTCAAGCCATTCTCTGCGTGTAACTCTGCAGCCTGAAGAACCTCCCTGTTCGACAAAGTGTAATCTTTTTTATCCTGACTGATGGTCTGCGTGAATATAAACCCTACTTTCCTCATCCCCAAACCTACCGCAATAGCTTCTACTAACTTCTCTTCATCGGGGTCTCTGAATAACAATAAATTATCTTCCGAACCTTGCTGGGGTGGCTCATATATGAAATCCACTTCAACCTTACCCTCCTCTGAGACGGTACCGTACATGAACCCCCCTCTTTTCACTGCAAAAGCTAGGGTCTCATTCACATAATGCTGAAACGCGTTGGCACAATCCCGATCGAAGGAAACCAACTCGCAATGCGGGTTTTCCTGTCGTCCAACTCGCATTTGCTTGGCGATTAGATCATCCATGGTCATCTTGCGGCCGAAGGAGCCGGCGGGGCTGAACGCTGGCCCAGCAACCCTACGTTCACCCTCGTAGGCCAGAAATACGATAGACCCATGAGAGATATTGAGAGCAGAGAGAGGGGTATCGGGGTTAGACATATCAGTAAATCGGAGAAGATCTTCATGAGTCTTAGCAAGCAGGAGGTTTTGGTTGGTCGAGAGAGTTTGATTGTGTGTAGGAATTTGAAGCTGGGATTGGATTATAGATCGGAGTTGGGCCACAGTGACATGCGGGTTATCAACAGAAACTCGCTCCAGGCCATCGCGACTTCGAATTCTGAGCATCATGGTGAAGAATCTGGGATTATTGGAAAACCTTGGCCACCGTCAGAAAATTTGTGGGAGTGGGATCGAGGAACAAAAGATTTATATAGAATACTGAGTTGTAGAAGAAAGAGTATTTGAGTTGGAGTAGAATTTAAGTAGGGGAAGGTGAAGGTTTCGGGTCTGGAATAGTGAAATCCTTGTTCCTCTAGGAAAGCCGGCCAAAAAGAAAAGAACTCTTGCCTATCGGGATTGGGATACCGAAGAGGAAGAGGAAGATTACGATTACGATTACGATTACTAGTACTTCGGCTTTTTAATGGTAGCTCCTTATTTTATTATATCGTCAACAATTTCCTAATTCTTGCCCCGTTAGTTGAATTAAGAATATCTGGCAAAAAAAGAATTGAAAATAATTAGTAAGCTTATATTTGCCAACAAAAAGTAAGCTTACATGTTTAAAAGTTATCTCATCGGTATTATTATGTATTAATTAATTTAATAATTAAAATCAAGCATTTTTGTAATTTAAACTAAAGAAAGAGATTTTTGTAGATACAGTTATATCATGTGACCAAAATAAAAAAATAACTCAATATTTAATATATTTTGCATTTGCATTATATTCAATTTATTATATTTATCAATGATATATTATTATATATTAATGATAAATTCTTTATAAATTTTTAAATTTTTAATAATAAATACTTTGTATATTAATAATAAACATCTTATATGTTAATAATAAGTTCTTTATATACAATGTGAATAAGCATATTTTTAAATTTTTAAAAATTTAGTCTATATTTCCTGGATATAGATAAATATATATCTGTTTAATATAAAAAATTATTTAAATATAGTATTCATCAGCCAATAACAGTGTAACCTTGTTTCATGCTCATGTAGGGACCCATGTTAGTTGATTAAAAATAGAAATTGGATATTACTATGTAATTGCATATTTCGTTCGATTTAGGCTTTTGCCGCAAAGACCAAACAACATCACGCATGATTCTTTTTAATGAAAAACTGAACTATTAATCAAGAGAGATCACAAACCAAAAATGAGTAGAGTAATTTGTTTTCCTGTCAAGTGACTAGATTCAAAACTTCCACGCAATCCGTGCGAACTTGCAAGTTATATTACTTTCATTACCATTATGGCTATAATTCATGAATGATACTATGATACCTTACCAATGAGTTCAGCAATGGCCAGGGGTTAAAACTATAGTATCTGCTTTAAAACCAGCAATCCACTAAACATTACCACGCATGACCTGAAATCAAGCATTTAAATGAAATAATTAGATGTTATTTGATTTTTTGCATATTATTCTTCTTTGATGAAAGACTGCTTGTGTATTATTAATTCACCGAATCGCTATTTTTTGGGCTTTCGGCGAAACACCCATGTCCCTGTTTTGACCAACATATAATTTAGAGCACATTCAAACTCTACCTAAAAAAATCATATTATATATATAAAAGTAGGGTTTAAGGTTATGAGAGAATGTCACGTGTTCATTTTTAGGTTTGCTATAATTCCGCACTTTGGGATGCCTTTCGTGTGATTATGTGCTCCAGAGTCAGGCCTGGGGTTATGTTCGGGATGTTTTATTATTTTTTGAGAAATATAAAATATATTATTTAGGTTTGGAGTTAGGTGTAGGATGAATTATTAATTGTTATATGTATATAAAAATTTATTTTTATCTATTTAAAATTCAAATGTGGGCATGTTTAAGTTTAAATTAATATCTATCTATTTAATAACTCTGTCCAATCTAAATATATGGCAAAAATTTAGGCTCAATATTTTTTTAATGTATAACTTAGTAAATTAATATCTATCTATTAACATTAAATATCAATATTTTTTTATGCATGATTTAGAAGGGAATCCTTCGGATTTGACATTAGAATTAAAAATCAATACAATTTCCATTGTTTTACTTAGTATTCTTTAAATTTTCTTTAAACTGCTAATTAATATTTATCTATTTAATAACTCTATCTAACTTAAATATATGATGAAAATATGGATTCATAATTTCGAGTACATATATACGGCTATATATTAGGATCCAAATTTAAATTAATATACATCTGTTTAAATATTTAGAAAAAGAATATGTTTTTTACTATTTAAATCTATCCTCATGAATTTCAAAAAATATAAATATGATAAAGTATAGATATTAATATATTTAACTATTTGGGTCTCATAATGTGAAATTCATGTATTAATTTTTTCTATATTTATATAATTTGAATTTTGCAACTAGTTGTTTGAACTGTTAATTTCATATATCAATAATTAGAGTCTCATTATGTTAAATTCATATATTAAGTCTGGTAGAATTAAAATTCCTTTAATATCTACACTCAAAAAAAATAAATATTTAATATATATCATTTTAATTTTTTTAATTAAATCACCTCTTAATTTCCCCTCCTAAATGAGCATCGTTCAATGTTGAATTAGTTTTCAAGAATATTGGAGTAAGTGTTTATGTCTTTTGTATTTCTTTTTTAAAATTTGAATCACATTAATTACATCCAATATATAATACTTATTCTATCTATAGGACAATATTGCTATAGGGTGATTAGATCTCTGCAATCATTTGAAAGCCTTCAGTGTAACATTTTGAAGATATGTTGCATCGCTTTAAAATATATGAAATTTTAAAATTTAAGGCCTCTTAGTATTTCCGATCATATAGGACAACATATTATCCTTATAAAATTAGCTTTCTTATTCTCTACCAACATTAAGTTGCATCTTCAAACAGGTTCCATCTATTATTTTGAGTTTAATTTTGTTAATATTCTAGAACTTGCAAATAAAAAGACAGCAAATGATAATTACTTAGTTAGCATGTATTTAAATTTGTTGAATTTTTTTTGAAAATAATAAAGTATTTATTTTATATGTACAACTCGCCTATCAAATAAAATAAATAGGTTTGAAAGAATTATTTAATCTTTTGGACCTATTTGTTTGATAGGTTTAGAGTATGAAATTAGGTTTGAAATAATTTATCTTTTTGATATATTTTTATTTTATTTTAGTTAGATTTATCTATTTGAAATTAAAATTGAACAATTTAAATGGAGTAAGTAGATTATTTTATATTTTCATACAATAATAAAATTAAATTTTGGTTATATTTTGACTAGTCCAACTTAAAAATAAACAAATAAAATATATAGATTTATCAATTTGAAATTCAAATTATTATTTTATTATGAGATAATTATATAATATCTTAAGATTTATAACATTTTCTCTCATTTAATTAGTTATTTACCATATACAATCAATAAATTAGGATTTTTAATAAAATAAAAAAATATATTATATAATTGTATTAAGTATAAATATAAATATTAAAATTATTTTTTCAATCTAAGTTTTAATTCTAATCAACTAAGATTTTTTTAGCAAATTTTAATTATGTTCTTCTTGATATTATAATATAGTATTTTAAATTTTATTTTTCATCATAAATTTTATAAATATAATTTAATTTTTTTTAATCGTGCTTTTCCAATGTATTTTCAATTTTTTTTTATTTTATTTATTTTTTTTTAAAATTACATTTTTATTTTTTAAAATTATTGTATTATGATATATTTTAATAATGAAATTTATTTATGTTTATTAGATATATCGATCATTTTTTATTTAATTTTTTTATTTTAAGGATGCAATAATATATGCTTTTTTAACCAAGAAAAGAGACCAAGACTAGTTTTTGGATGCAATTTTATCATTCATATAAAAATAAAAAAGTATTTCAGTAAAATTTTGAATATATAATAAGTTACAATTAATTAATTTTAAATCATATTAAAACTTTTAGTCAAAAATAAATTTCTATCAAAATATTTTAACATTATATTTACATTTTTAATGATAGAAATTTGGACTTGTATAGTTTATATTATATTCTAGCGTTTGTATTATTTTGATTATACATCAAAGGTTATTATTATCTTTTAGATATTTAATTAAGGTACTTTATAATCTATATATGTATTAGTATAATTAAAATTTTTAATTTTTAAAAAACTATCCAAGCTTTCAAGCTTCGTCCTAAATCTTATCAATAAAAGTTAGGCTTAAAAAAATACTTATTTATAAAAAAATTAAATTTATAGACTTGAATCCTTAAAAGCTATGCTTATAAGAATCGGACTAACTCTTATTAATAACTTTTTGTGCATTTTATATGTAATTTGATGCTTGAAAAGTTAGATTTTGCTGTTAGTTTGTAAATAAGTTTGGACAAAATTTTTAAATATTTATAAATAAACTAAAACAGTGGTCATGTTTTGTGTGTGTGTGTGTAAAATATATATTTATATAGTTAAATTTACTTTACAATCTGATTTTAAATTTTTATATTGATGAATTAGTGTCTTATTTTAAATAATCAAAGATATATTGACTTGAGTTTTAAAGATGAATTCTATTTCAAATTTTAAAATTTAAAATTGCTCATAATAATTATTTATAATAAATATAATTCAAATTTTATATTATTATTTTAATTATTTATACTGATATCATATATAAAAGGGAGAATGATGTTGAAGTCTCACACAAGAGAATTAATTACTGCAAGGTCCATTGACAACTGAACTAAACTGCATTGACAATTGACTATGTTGTCAATGCAGTTTAGTTCAGTTATCCATAGATCTTGAAGTAATTAATTTTCTTATGTGGAACCTATTTATAATTCTCCCCATATAAAATATTTTAGTGAAAGGTTATGAGAAAGTTATTAAATTGACCAAGCAATGAATATTTTAATTTGTATACAAGTAAATGTCACATGTCATTTTGTGCATCCTCCTTAAATTGTGTCTATCCCTTTTTTCAAATCAAATAATAAATACTCTATCTAAAAAAATTATAATATATAGTAAATTATAAATGGGTCGGCTAGAAAAAAGATTTTGAATTTAAAAATGAATATTCTTTTTAATATTTATTCAAGTTAAAAAATTATATGGTTGACAATATTTAATATAACTTTGTAGATCTCAAAATAGTTTACTTAAATTTTAAAAATTTAGCCAATATAGTTCTAAATATTTATAGTTTAAATAAGATTGTCAAATTCAAATCAAATTTTTTTCTCATTTAGATATTATACCAATTATAAATAAGTGATGTTGTTTACTATTTTTTTTTTACACTTACATATTTGATTAAGAGTTAAAGGATAATGTTAACCCAAATGTTAATAAAAG